TATATATAGGAGAAAGAAATGCATTCTGGTATATAGGAAAAAGAAATGCATTCTGGTTTGTAAAGCCGTGAGCGTGAATAAATGACTTTTCAGTTTTCATTTCATGGTTTATGCTCTTTGTGTGTTTACACACTGTCTTGCAGTGGAGGTTCCTCCCTCATAAATTTACGTCATATTGGAGTTGAACTCTGATCTATCTTAGTTATAGCACCATTTTTATGGCAGGCACAGAAATGATTGAAATACTTGCTTTGTTCCAAACCCCTGTAAGTCTACATAGCTTGGTATCTTGTAAGGAAGCATCTGAAATGGAACCTGTAAAGGACCAAGATTGACAGCTCTATTTACAGCAACGAATGCTTCATGTTCTACAAGTAAAAATTTCATTCAGTTTCTCCATAGGGGAATTGATTTTGAACTTTTAACTTAGTAAAGACAAACCTACTGTGAGCTACAAGGTTGTTAATCAGTGGTATATGCTTTTGTTGAAACATCAGCCAGCATTACTTCAACTGATTTTTAAATTAATCATGTTTAACAGCGGAATTCCTGGTGGAAAAACTGCATTATACAGAAATGTTCAACAATTAGAGAATCGCGATAAGGAAATTGCTGCAGAAGAACACTTAAGTGGCCCGACCTCTCCAGTGACGCAATGCAAATTTCCCTTTGCTCTCAGAATATTCTGTAAAATCACTATTATATATGTTAGACATATTTAAGTCCCTTTGGGAAAAACCAAGGCCTCTGAAAAAGTAGGTGAATAGTACCGTCACGCTCTACAGCACTCCTCACTTGAAGAATACGCAACTCACAGTTGATTCCAGTAGAGTTTTGCATTAACATTACGCTAACAACACGGTCTCAGATGTTGAGTAAGATGGGAATTTGTTTTATTGATTAAAATTTGTATTATTGTTTTTTTATAAGCTTCATTATTTAATAATTATAGGCTAAGTAATGTTTTAATGCCATCTTGAATGTTTCAGTAAAGGATGCATGCTATGCTAACTTAAAATGTGGTCAAAGGAAGGCATCTTAATATAGGCATCTCTGCCCTTAATGTTGGAAGTTTACCTGTAATGCCTTAAATCTCTCTAGGTTTTGGTACAAAGCCATTATTTCGACTAGAGCAAGGGTTTTATTGTTGTAAGTGGATTAAATCGGTTTCTTCTTTTTTTCCTCACAGATATTATGGAACTCCCAGAAAGCATTTCATATTGTAAAACCCTCCAAGTAGCAGATTTTAGTGGAAATCCTTTGACAAGGTAATTGTGCATTTCAGCTTTTGTGTGATATTCTGATCCTGTATAATTGCTGACATGTTTTATAAAGCCCAATATGTGGTGGCAGTTCAAGAAGAAATGCTAAAAACCAGTAAAATATTTACTAAAATACTGCTGTTTATCGCAAGTTATCTAAACTAGTTTTGTTCAGTTTTGCTGCTGTTACCCTAATTATTATGTTTGTGTGAGAGAAATTTCTAGTTTGTAATATAATTCTAGTATAATTAAAAAGATATTCCCCCTTTAAATTGCTTCTGTAGTTAGCCTCATTTTTGTTAGTAGTTTGTAGTGAAGTTAAAGGGTTAGTTCACCCAAAAATGAAAATTCTGTCATTAATTACTCACCCTCATGTCCTTCTAAACCCATAAGACCTCCGTTCATCTTCGGAACACAATTTAAGATATTTTTGGTGAATTCTGAGAGCTCTCTAACCCTCCCATAGACAGCAAGGGTCCTTACAAGATCAACGTCCAGAAACGTAGCAAGGAGATCGGTAAAATAATCCATGTGACATCAGGGGTTCAACCGTAATATTACGAAGCTACGAGAATACTTTTTGTACGCAAAGAAAACAAAAATAACGACTTTGTTCAACAATTCGTCTCCTCCGCGTCACCCTAGCGCCATTTTGGTCCCTATGAAGTACAGTTTGCACAATACACCTGTGTGTGGCTGTAAATGTCTCTGAGTTTTGTTACCGTTCTGTGCCCATCATTCGCTATTTCCAGCACTTAATCAAGCCACTCTTCTTTAAAACACGAGGACGTTTTATTTCACGTCATTGCGTTTGCGTTGGCTGTTGATTTGAGCTATTTCGTTAGCAACCACTGAAGTATTCAGTTTCTACAGCGACTCATTTGGCGCACATCATTCTCTTTCTATGAAACCTGTAAACCACATTCACCGGTTCTAACTCTATAGCGACATCAACTTTACAGTGGTTTACGCGATCATTGCAATTCTTTAGTTTTTACTAGAATACAATCAAATGGCTTTCCCAACTCATTTTTACGTGTGCGCGGCACATTATTTCTTCTGCGCGGCCGCAGCTTAGAGGGAACATTGCTCATGATCAGTAGAAATATGATTGCGGTTGGAAACTGACATAGACATTCAGTCTTTGAGATGAAGTGACTTCATTCCCTATATCCACCCTAGTTGTGATGTCTGTCTTCTCTGTATTGTAGGACCGTTATCAGCAGCTGAGACTTGATGACTGTTGCTGACTTGATATCAGAACAACTAAAACTACTAGTCTAATTTCAGACGATTGATTGCACATTTTCAAATTTTGGTAAAAGCATTTATCCTCAGGGTCATTTTTGACGTGCACTGAGACTTACAGTTAGCGGTTTCTGTAGACTAGGCGATCGGTGGGTGATTTTTGGCTGTATTGCTTTAGCTGGTGAGTACTCCATGACACAGTCTATCTCCAGGACGACATATTGTTTCCCAAAAACACCCCAGCGTGCATGTGAGTGGCTCGGCCTGTTATTCCAGTGGATGTTCATATCACCTCTCACCATTGTCTCTGTAGTAACTTGGACTTCTTTCAGATTGAAATCTGGGAAACGTCTGGGTAACTTTTGTTTTGTTTGTTTTTTCCACGGCTCTCTTCATTTCCTGTGTAATTTCCTCTTCCGTGCCTGTCGTCCCTCTATCTCACAGCTCAATGGCAGCCTCTTGCCTCTTCAGAAAGTTCCTAGAAAAACAATGGAAATCCATTCATATGGCCATGCTAGTCTGTTTATGACCAGTGAGTTGATTTTCAGTAGAAGTTAATCAACTGTGAACTTGTATCACTACTGTTAAACATCTAGACCGTATTTAAAACAGTGTTGTTTGCCACTAACCCTTGCTAGTTGGATGTACATGACTTTCACTGTTGCTGGTGTGATGAAATGATTACTGTATGTTGATCATGGTTGTTTTAATCACATAAAATGGTAAAGCAGTAGGGATGTAACGATTAACCGCGAGCCGGTTGAAAATCGATTCAAATATGTGACGATTCAAATCGGTTGAGATGCTAAACAAATCGCGATTCATTTAGGGGTAGGAGTTCATATGAATGTATTTCTGAGGGGAACTTCGTCTTTAGAAAAGTTTAGATGGTATATTTTCTTTTCCTCTTGCCTCTGTATAATGCATATTAAAGTTCA